TTCTCTGTGACCGTAATTTTAATATTAAACAAAAAAAAAATTCAAATTCTCTGCTTCTCATTTAAACCTTCCTCGGTGCTGAGGTTTGCATATTCATCACCTCCCTGGGTCAGCAGGCTCTGACCTTGCTAAATGTCACAAAGCTCCTGGGATTTCACTTTCCCAATCCGTGATTTCCATATTTTTTTTTTTTCCCCTGCCTTGCTCCGTGTGGATAAATCGCACAAAAAGCCGTAATCACCTTGGGGTTATTCTGAAATCGGCATTGGTCGGGTGAGGAGAATTGGAGAAGAATTTTGGAAATTTTGGAGAAGAATTTTGGGTTTTTTTGCTGTTTTCTGGGAAATCTCTGCTCAAGAATTAAAGAGTTGGGAATGATCCACAGGTGAAACATCAGGACAGTGGAATTTTCCATCTGAAGTGCCTAAATATCCCTATATTTATACATAAAACTCCAAATAATCGTGGGAAGGTCGAATCTTTAAGCTCAGTTTGGCAGCATCGACCATTGCCGTATCCTGGGAAAATCCTTTTGGCAGGAATATGGAATTCCTCAGATACGACCTCCAGGAGAAAAGTGGAGAAAACCACTTCAGAAAGCAAATTAGAACTCTAAAAATAATGGCAGCACCATTATTGGGATATTTTCAAGTTTTTAAGGCCATTTTTTCATTCCTGTACTTGGAAAAGAAGGAAAAAAACTGCCCAGAGTTAAAAAAAAATTAGACCGAGTTTGAAAACTTTATTTTAGGCTGTCCTTTCTCCCACCACAAACAGCCCAAATGAAACCCAAATTTTATCTCTGGAGAAGAAATTCATTCAGAAAGTAATAAATGCAGCAGCCTGGGAGTGTTTGGTTATGTAATATTTGTCCTGAATATTAATCAGTTTCTTCCACTCAAATCTTCAATCGTGAGGGGAGGAAAAAAGAAGATGTAAATAATATTAATTTTAAATGCAAATCTTCATTTCCTTTATCATCTCAAGCTCCTTAAAAATAGATTTATAACAGATTTGTTTAAAAGGAAAGCTATTTTCCCCACTTGGTTTCTCAGATCCCTTGGTTATCCCTTTTTAATGAGTTTTCATAATTAAAATTTTATAATCTGGCAGAGTTGGCTCTTTGGGAGTTTTCCCAAACTCCTGATTCCCATTCACGAGACAATTCCATGAATTTGGTAAAATTCCCACAGGGATTGGCCACCCTACCTGTTTAAAAAGTTTCTCTTTATTACTTTCCTAAAATTCCACGAGTTTTTATCTCGATAATTCCAGTTCTGTTTTGGACGGAGAGCGCTTCGTTCTCTTGCCACAACTTTTCTTTCATTATTAATACAATATTTGCATATAAATATTTCATCAGGCAGATATTTCGAGAGCAGACCCAGCACATTCCCAAGTTGCCAAATCGGCTTTTCCAAGGGAAAAAAAATTCTTTTTCCCGTTCCCAGCTGCAAAGAAATCCAAAATCAAGGAAAGAGGACTCGGGGCTGGATTCTGGAAAATGGGAATAACTCGTTCCTGGTGCTCCACTCAGCCTCATCTTTTCCCTAATTATCCCTGCTCCATTCCCAATTTAATTCCTGCAGGATAAACCCTTTTCCCAGAATTATTTGGAATTTATTACCAAGGAAAAAGGAGGTAAATAAAGCTGAGTTCCAGGAAATCTGGAGCATCCCAAGGTGGCTCTGCCAGCCAGTTTTCCATGAAATATCTGGGATGTTTTAAGAGGCTTTCCGAGGGTTTGGGGATGGATGTGTTTGGGATGGAGTTTGTGTTGTAAAAAAGGATTTTATGGAGCGCAGAAGGAAAAGGGAGCAAGGTCCACCCAAAAAGCGATCCTGTGCCTGATTCCAGGGATCCAGGGCAGCCACAGCTTCTCTTGGAATTCCATCCCATCCTCATCCCACCCTCCCAATCAGGAATTCGTTCCCAATATCCCATCTAAACCAAACACAGAGGAAGAGTCCTCCTGGAGCAGCCTGGAATGGCAGGAGGTGCTCATGGAGGGGTTGGAATGGGATGGTTTGGAAATTCCCTTCCAATCCAAAGCATTCTGGGACTCCAGGATTTTCATTTCTTTGTAGATATTTTAGGATTTAAGGTAAACATGAAAAATAAAAAAAATCTTAAACCACAACTCAAGGCCGAACCATGACCAAGCCCAAAATTCCACCATTTTCCTGGAGAGCCCCCAGACAGAGATCCTGGAATCACTGAGATGGGATAAAGGGATGGCAGCAGGAAAGAGAAGTGAGGAAAAAAAAAAAAAAAACCTCATTAGATACAGGCATCAAATTAAAAAAAAAATCTTTATCTTTGAATTTACTGATTTTTTTTTTTGTTTGACCCAACAGATGTGACCCAGAGCAGCAATTCCATTGGAATGGGCATATTCCCAAGGCTGCCAGAACTCCAGGGATGCACAGGGTGGGATTGGTGGGGTGTCTGTCCAGGAGTTGGTTTCGTGATCCCACTCATGATATTCCATAATTCCACCGAAATTCCATAATTCCATAATTAACCACTACAGTGGGACAGAAAACCCTGCTGCCTGAAGGAAAACTTCTTCCCGAAGAATGAGAACGTCCCACACAGCACAACCCCAGCAAAATCCATGAATTTCTATCTAAATAAAAGAATTTCATTAAATATCATCACTGCTGGAATCATCCTGGATAAACATTCCAAAAAAAAAAAAAAAAAAAA